TCTCTCTCTTCTATTTGTCCTGTCTCTGTCTGTCCTCCCTGTGTCTTCTCTGTCCTCTTTCTGTGTCCTGTATCTCTCTCTCTGTGTGTCTTGTCTCTGTCTCTCTGTGACCTGTCTCTTTCTGTGTGTCCTGTCTCTCCTTCAGTGTCCTGTCTATCTGTGTGTGTCCTGTCTCTCTCTATGTGTGTGTCCTGTCTCTCTCTCTGTGTCCTGTCTCTCTCTATCTCTGTGTCCTGTCTCTCTCTCTCAGTATCCTGTCTCTCTCTCTCTGTGTGTGTCCTGTCTCTCTCTCTCAGTGTCCTCTCTCTCTCTCAGTGTCCTCTCTCTCTCTCTCTCTCTGTGTCCTGTCTCTCTCTATCTCTGTGTCCTGTCTCTCTCTCTCAGTGTCCTGTCTCTCTCTCTCTCAGTGTGGCCTGTCTCTTTCTCTCAGTGTCCTGTCTCTGTCTCTCTCTCAGTGTCCTCTCTCTCTCTGTGTCCTGTCTCTCTTTCTCAGGGTGTCCTGTCTCTCTCTCAGTCTCCTGTCTCTCTCTCTCAGTACTGACCTCTATGAAGAAGCCCAGGACAGCGATGCCCCCAGGATCAGCCAGAGCTACAGGCAAACTCTTCCCCTTCTTCACATGGACGATGTGCAGCTGATAACACAACACAGCACCACAACACTTACACAACACTGAATGCTGTAAGGCAACATTGAAAACAGTAACACAACACAGCTCTTGCACAACACTGTGACACAGCACTGAATACGTGACAACACAATAACACAACACTGAAAACAGTAACACAATCCTGGAAACAGTAACACAAGCCTGTGTCAGTAACAAAAGCCTGTAGCAGTAACACAGCCCCGGAAACAGTAACAGAACCCTGTGGCAGTGACACAAGCCTGGAAACAGCAACACAAACCTGTGGCCGTAACCCAACCCTGTGTCAGTAACACAACACTGGAAACAGTTCAGTAAAGTTTATGTGCCACAGGCGCACGCGCAACGAGATGCTTATTTGCAATGTAGGCTCCAATACAAAGACATTAGAGGAATCATTAACAACATGAACACAGAACAGCAGCAGCACCAACAACAACTTAAATAACATACTGTACATCTTTCAAAAAAGTGACACAAGTAGTGTGAGGAAAAAAAACCCATCAGTGTGACCCAGTGGTCACCCCGTCACGCCTTCTGCTTACACAACGAGCTGCCGCCAAACCACACTGTAACCCCACACATGAGCACGCTCCCAACAGAGAGCAGACTGGAGCAAGGACACCTGAAGGCAGATCCTTCTCTGTAGCTCCAGTTACACGCTGGGACCCCGTTAAATCATCAGTAATGAAGGTACCCAGGAACTTGAAGCTGAGAACCATGTCTATAGGTGTGGTCCCCACCCTGCTTTCTGAAGTCGACAACCAGCTCTTTGGTTTTGCCGACGTTGAGGGAGAGATTGTTGTCGAGGCACCACTCCACCAGGGTCCTGACCTCATCCCTGTAGGCCGTCTCATCCTGACTGGCGATTCGGCTGATGATGGTACTGCAGCGTCCTCAGCACACCTGCAGATGGAGCTGGAGCTGCGTCTGGCCTCACAGTCGTGGGTAAACAAGGAGAGCAGCAGGGGACCAAGCACACAGCCCTGAGGGACACCTGTATCACCGGTCAGTATGGAAGAAAGCTTTCCATCGCCCCTCACAGTCTGTGGCAGTAAGACAACCCTGTGGCAGTGACACAAGCCTGTGGCAGTGACACAAGCCTGGAAACAGTCACACAACCCCGCGCTGTCCCCTCACCTCCATGGGGAAGCGCTGGCCGTCCAGCAGGTGCTCGGAGCCGGGGAAGTCTGCGGAGTTTCCCCAGTGGAAGTGGAACTGGACAGCGGAGTACTGGCCAGAGAGCCCCCCGCCACTGACCCCCGCCCCTGGCCGCAGGGTCACCTGCACTGAGACACACAGCCAGAGAGAGCCAGGGTGTCTCCCATCACTGCTCCCGTCACTGTGCCAGACACACTGCTCCTGTCCCTGTCCCAGTCACTGTCCCAGTCACTCACTGCTCCTGTCACTGTCCCAGTCACTGTCCCAGTCACTCACTGCTCCCATCACTGTCCCAGTCCCTTACTGCTCCCATCACTGTCCCAGTCACACACTGGTCCCGTCACTGTCCCAGTCACTCACTGCTCCCGTCACTGTCCCAGTCACACACTGTCTCGGTCAGTCTCTGTCTCAGTTAGTCACTGTCTCAGTCAGTCAGTGTCTCAGTCAGTCAGTGTCTCGGTCAGTCAGTGTCTCGGTCAGTCAGTGTCTCGGTCAGTCTCTCGCTGTCTCAGTCAGTCTCTGTCTCAGTCAGTCACTGTCTCAGTCAGTCTGTCTCGGTCAGTCACTGTCTCAGTCAGTCTCTCACTGTCTCAGTCAGTCTCTGTTTCAGTCAGTCTCTCGCTGTCTCAGTCAGTGTGTGTGTCAGTGTTACCTGTGTGTCCGTTGTTGGTCAGTTCTCTCATGATGTTCTTCTCTCTGTACCCAGTGAAGGTCAGCTCAGTCAGACTGGGGTCAGTGGTCACTCCGGAGGTCCTGATGTCCACAGGAGACTGACGTTGCCCATTGCAGTGACCAATAGGCCTGGACACCCAGGCAGAAGGTCCTGTAACAGGGACACAGTGCCTGTGTACACTGATCGGTTGTGTAGACAGGAGACTGGACCTCAATCAGGCTATTCTTTAACCAATCATCAATCAGGATCATTAATCAGAGCATTCCTTAATCAATCACTGATCAGGATATTATTGATTAGATGATTCACTCCAGTGTCTTACCACACTGCCCGCGATGGTAGCACCAGTGAGACTGATGAGACTCTGAAAGACAGAGAGTGTTACAAGAGGTAAATTCTCAGGACAATCAGTTTCTTGCTTTCTAACGACACTCAGAATTACACCTCCCATCCTGTTACTAAGGTTTCTCAGTGATCTCCTCTCTTATTGTGTCTCCTGTCCTGTTGTGTGTGTTTATTACTGAGGGATTTGACTGAGGGACTGAGGGTTTATTATTATTCTCTGTGATCTCCTCTCTCTCACTGTGTCTCCTGTTGTGTGTGTTTATTACTGAGAGATTCTCTCTGATCTCTTCTCTCTCTCCCTGTGTCTCCTGTCCTGTTGTGTGTTTATTACTGAGGG